AACTCAGAGTCTCAAAATGTCAGGATCACTTCAGAACTACAGTGCGCTGCTCAGAATTGAGCAGCGCTTCACTCTCCAACCCTGATAGACACCCGTAAYRCCCCCTGAGCCCTGAAACATCAAGCGCCACCCAAATACAGCCTCCTGGGGGCAGCGCCACCCTGAAACAGGCCTCTGAGGCCAAGTGCCACTCAGAGGATGAAGAAGAAGACCAGCGCCACAGTATCTGATGATGACGAAGTGTCGGGAGGCTTCCCGGGTGGAAGCCTGCAACAGCGCCACCAAATCCTGACTAGATGACCTCTGAGATGAAGAAGCTGCAGCTATGGCTGCAGCGCAAACCCTCTGGGACCCCACTCCGGAGGAGGGTCCAGCAGGGCACCAATCTCTCTCGCCTCCAGCAGACCTCAATAACCCAGACCTCTGTCAGCCCCTACATGCTGGCAGAGTACAGCRCARGTCCCAGCTATGGCCTGCGCTCCGAAGGTCTGGCTATGCCCGTCTTCTTCCACGTTGAGCCGTCACCACTACCGGTTCACACGYAGCGCAGCAGCGATGTAYGCGGTACCAACTGCCAAAARCCCTGAACCGATGTGCCCATCCTACTTCTAGCCTACACCGACCTAGACCGGACTGACTGACCGACCGGTACCGTATCTGTTTCGGCCTCTCGGCCTCTACCGGACCCGGCTATAGGCTATAGGACTGTCTATTCAGAATAGGCCCATAGGGCCTGTCTGTCTAGGGGTAGCCCGGGCCTGCTATCCRCAGTTAGGGTAACTGTAGGGAATCAAGTTAGTACCGGGCCTRTATTTTCCCGRATTTGCAGATATGTCCCTCAAGAATTTCCCTCACAGGTAGGTCTCTCGGTTAGCCCTCAGCCAAACAAAATTACGAATCTGTCCTACCTATAGTACAGCCTCGACAGAGAGAGGCTACAGGCGACCAGAAAACAGCAAGTCATTGCAGACCTACACTCCCCCGGAGCGAGGACCTCCGAGCTAGGGGCGTAGGCATGCAGAGCGCCGAAGGGGTACCCCCTTTTGTGCTGCCTCATATCTGAGGATGACAGACTTGGCTGTCTTTCGGAGTTCCTTGCGAGTAAACCAGCGATCTTCAGTGTGTGGCTGGTATAAGAACTTCACAAGATACTCCTTATGTGGACCTGTCCCTGACTCATCCTCCACAGATTCGACCTCATACCCCTTGCTAGGGATAGGGGGACCGAATTGTGGGGGCCTGTCTGGGAATGCATCAGCTGGTGTAAATGGCAACAGCTTAGACGCATGAAAGACAGGGTAGGTTTGTAGATGCAGAGGGACGTCCACATTATAGGACGGTCCAAACGGATCAGCTCCCACTGTATCTAAGACCTCCCATGGACCCATATATCATGGCAGCAGCTTAGGCGAAATGTCCTCCTCTCGTGACAACTCAGAACTGAGTACCCACACCCAGTCACCTGTGTGAATCGTAGAAGGACGCCTGTGCTTATTGGCCTGTTGAATCATAGCCTTTTGGGCTTTCAACAGGTTAGCACGGGCACGCTCTATGTCCACACGGTAACGCCTGGTGAACTCTATAGTTCCAGGTGTCAGCGTAGGGGTAGCCTTGTCGATGATATCATCGAGAGGCTGCCGTGGTTCACGACCCCAATGTAACCGGTAGGGTGTGAAACCAGTCGAGGAGTGTACAGACGTGTTATACACAAGCTGTGCACGACTCAGATGGAGATCCCAGTCCTGCTGATCTGGACCGATCACGGGACGCGGCAATTGGAACAGAATCTGGTTCATCACTTCAGCCTAACCATTGGCTTCAGGATGACGACCAGATGTCATGTCCAACCTCGAATGAAGGTAATCCCTGCAGTAGGATTGCCATTCATTGCTGCAAAAACGGGGATCTTTGTCACTGACAATGGAGGTGGGTGGTCCATGATGTGTAACCCACCTGTCAGCAAACGCCGCCTGGACGGCCGGCACACGAGCCTCAGCTGGTAAGGGGATGAACTCTGCATATTTGGAGAATCGATCCACACATACCATGACCTGACCCATACCTCGTGGTGTAGTCCTACCCAAGTCGGTAAAATCAATAGAAACTGACTGTGCAGGAGCATCAGGGATAGGTAGGGGTTTGAGTAAGCCAAGTCGTCGTACCACCTTGTTCCTTTGGCATAACTCACAGGTTTCCACATAGTGCAGCATGCCACTCCTCAACTCCTTCCAGAAGAAGCGCTGCGACAGGGCTGCATAAGATTTGAGGGCACCAAAGTGACCACGAGCGTCATGACACTCTGACATCAGAAGTGTCCTCAGCTTGCGGTCCTGGGGAATGCACAGGCGCTCCTCGCCTCTGCTGCACGTGTACAGCAGGCCTGAGACCAGAGAGTACCCTAGTTCAGAGGCAGGATCGTCCTGGAGATTCCTCACAATAGGCCCAAAGATCTCATCCTGGGGCAGCAACTCGGCAATGGTCTGACGGGTCCTCTCTCCAAACGAGTGAGTAAAGGAGATCAGAAAGAGAGCGACAGGCCTACGAGAAAGGGCATCTGCGACTCTATTGTAGCAGCCCTTCTTGTGTCTCAGTTCAAAGTCAAACATGTCAATGAACTGGATATAGCGAGCAAGCTTGTCATTCAGCTCTCCCTGGGACTTCATCCACTGAAGGGTGGAGTGATCTGAAAAGATCTTGAAGTGCTTGCCCAGGAGAAAGTGCTTCCAATGCTTGAGCGCTGACACAAGAGCATAGAGCTCCTTCTCATAGGTAGAGTCCTGCAGCTTCTTGGTTTTGATCTTCTTGCTCATATACTCAATAGGCTGAAGACCATTCCCATCATCCTGCTGAAGTACCGCCCCTACACCATACTGGCTAGCATCAGTAGTCAGTACAAAAGGCAAGGTAGGGTCAGGTAACTTCAGGACAGGGGCACGAATCAAGGCCTCCTTGAGACGTGTGAAGGCCTCCTGACATTCAGACGCCCAAAGAAAGGAAGTGTCTTTCTTTGTAAGATCAGTCAGGGGAGCTGCAATCGCTGAGAAGTTCTTAATGAACTTCCTGTAGTAGGATGCAAGCCCCAAGAAAGACCGGACATCACGAATGTTAGCAGGTCGTGGCCAGTCCTGAACTGCAACAACTTTTGTTGCCTCAGGAACCAACCCCTCTCCAGAAATCACGTGTCCCAGATAGATTACAGAGGGAACTCCAAAAGAGGACTTCTCCCTGTTGATCTTATACTGGTTAGCACGTAAGGCCTGGAGGACCAGAGCCAGATGTTGTGCATGCTCCTGGACAGAACGACTGAATACCAAGATGTTGTCCAGGTAGACGACTACGAACTTGTCCAGGTAAGGCCTCAGTATGCGGTGCATCTCTGTTTGGAAAGTGCATGGCGCATTGCAAAGACCGAATGGCATAACCAGGTACTCGTAAGTCCCATACCTGGTTTTGAAGGCTGTCTTGTGGACATCGCCTTCAGCCATCTCAATCTGGTGGTAGCCAGATTTGAGGTCGATCTTGCTGAAAATAGTGCAGCCCTGCACCATATCCAACAGGTCATCAATGCGAGGAAAGGGCTCTGTAGACTTCCTCGTGATTTTGTTGAGACCACGATAGTCCACGCACATCCTGAACTCACCATTCCCCTTTGGAACAAAGAGGACCGGTGCCCCAAACTCAGATGTGTTGGGCCTGATCCAGCCCTTGCTGGTCAGGGTCTCTAACTGTTTCCTGAGCTCTTCAAGTTCAGCAGGAGACATCCTGTAGACCCGGCCCTTGGGAGGGACCGAGCCAGGTAGGATCTCAATCTTATGTTTGGTCTGCCTATGGACAAGTCCAGTAGGCTCCTCCATAAGATCTGAGAACTGGTCTACAACCTGCTGAATCTGAGAGGGACAGGGAGCAGTCTCCACGTCAGTTTGTTTGACATAAGCCACAAACAGACGAGCGTGGTCAGTCTGGCGTGAGAATCGCAAAAAACTTGCGAGCACTCATGCAATAACAGCTGCTGGCCGGATGGTACTCATCAGCGAGTATGCAAGGGCGATAGACCCCATACCGGTCAGGCAGCTCAACCCTAGGAATCCGCCAGTCAATCCTAGGATTGGTGGCACCAAGCCACTGCATAGAGAAGACAAGGTCAAAGGGGACGTTAGGGAACACATAGAAGTTCAGGCGATGCCTGACTTCCCCCTGTTTGTCAAAGGACACAGGTAGGCCCTTGACAACAGTGGTAATCCTGACTGTGGAAGAGTCCCCAATGCGGACTTCCAATGGCTGTCGCAGCTTCACCAACCTCTGATCCAAGTGCAGTTTGCTGACTGCCTTGGGGGAGATGAAGTTGCGAGTAGCCCCACAGTCCAAGAGCCCTTTGATCTTGGCTCCCAGGATGTAGGGTCGAAGCAGGATGAGTTCAGACTCGTGCTTCTTCTTCTCCTGCAAGGACAGGAAAAGATCAGCAATAGTCTGAGCATCGTCCTCCTTCCACGTCTCATCCAGCTCATAGTCTTCAAAAGTGAAAGACCCTGCCAATGCAACTCTGGAAATAAAAGTACCAGCGAGAGAATGTGAAGATTCACCTCCATCAGAGAGGGAATCAACACTGGTGGAAGGAGCTGTTGCTTCCACCTCTCTCTGCTCTAGTTTTTTGAACTAGAGCTGCCTGCAGACCTACGAGGCATACTGGGACAGTCCTTGAGAAAGTGGTCCCCCTCGCATCTCAGGCAGACCCCCTTATCCTTCCTCTTCCTCCAAACTCCCTCCTGGATCCTGAGTGCATGTCAGGGGAAGGTGGAAGGATCAAGTGGGTCAGCTGGCCATCGGACGTCTCGTGGTAGAGGTACTCTCTGGGCCCCAGGGGAAGAGGCACGTCCCTTCCCTTTCCCCTGGCGACTGGTTGGTGCTTTCTGGGCTGGGGCGTTTCCCTTTGCCAAGCCCATCAAAGCATCAGCCAGGGCAAGAACAGGATCTGCAGTTGATGATGATGCAGTCCCATGTGGAGGGCTCCCACCCTCGGATGCTGCGTCACTATCAGAACCAGACGCTGCAGCAGCAAACAGGGCGCCCTTCCTCCTCCTTCGCCCTTTGGAGGAGGGCCCCTTCCTTCCTTCAGAAGGTGCTTCCTGGACATGGAGCTTGGATTCCAAGTCCAGGGCTGCTCTGCCAAAGGACCTCCAATCCTTGTGGCCCTGAGAGAAGAGAGCAAGCTGGAATTGCTTAGGTGCTGCCCTTAGGAAATGAATGAGCAGATCCTGCTCACTCATCTCCAACCCTGGAGTCGACGTCAGACTCTCAAAAGTGGAATACAGTTTGGACAAGGAGCCCTCAAACTTTTTCTGGCCCAGGCGTAGGATTTTATCTGCAGCCTTTCTTGCCTACTCCTTGTCTGCAAACCGGTCTTGCAAGGCCTGCAGAAATCCAGCCACCCCCAACCTCTGCGCCCAATCAGCCATCTCCATCCCCTGCTTGCTGGAAGTAGAGGTGCACCATTTCAGTGCAGTCCTCTCACCTTGACATCCTCGTCGCATTTGAACCCACTCAGGTAGGTTCGCTGCGCAGTCACCCAATCTGCCACATCCACCTTAGGATCTTCTCCTGAGAACATTGGTGGAGGGGTCAGCTTGGGCCGCTGCGGCTCAAATGGGGCTGAGGACTGAGAGGGTGCTGGTGACTTGGGTGTAAGAGGTGGGGATGTAGGTCTGGAGTGTGGGGATTTTGGGACAGGTGCTGCAGAAGGGCCAGAAGAAGGAGGAACAGTCTGAACAGGGGTGATCTGCAGCTGTTTGGCAATGTTGCTCAGCTGCGCAGAGATGTCATCCAGCTTCTTTGACAAAGCTGAATGACTGGTCTCTAGACCTGAGATTCGGTCATCCCAGTTAGTAAAGTAGGACCGGTGAATCTCATCCTGCAGCAGGATGAATTCTGCCATGTCCTTACTTGCCTAACTGGTTGTACCGAGGCTCATAATTCTCTGCATGTCTCCAATCAACACTTTTCTCCTGGCCTCTTTCTGGGCGTRCTCTTCCTTCCTCTTGAGCTCTGCCTTTAGGTTCTCAACTGCCTGGGCCTGCAAGCGGAGTTTCTCCTCTTGGGCCCGCAGTTCAGCCTCTAAAGGGTCAGGCGGTACATGTGTTACAGGCTGCACTTTCATCTCAAGCTTTACCTGGGGTGTCTCCCCAGAACTCTCAACTCCCTCAGCCTTCCCAGAATCCGCCATATTGCTCCCCACAATACAGACAAATAAACAACAACAAGTAACACACAAAGAAGAGGCAGGAGGTAACAGGAGTTCGATGTTCCCTGCAGTACTAATCCAATTGCTGTCACCTGCCAGGAAAGAGAAGATTGGTTAATCTGAGCAAGTGAGTGCTCAGTCTCAGCAGACCGCTTGAGGGTCAGGGTCAGTTCAGAGTCCACTCAGGCAAAAACCAATTTCACGATTTTTCCATCCCTGCCCTGACACAACAATTGCATGCAATAATTGCAAATCCTGAATCAACAACTGACAGGATGCAGTCTTGGACTAATTAGTGTTGATTAGTAATCAGACAAAGTGACTAATTAGGGTTAGATGGGTATCTACTGATGACCAAAATGCAGCGATGTGCAGGAAAACCTATTTTTAGACCTACCCTGTTGACATCAACACTGTATAACCCTGGATGCCATATTGGGGGTATGGCGAATTACAGCAAACACTGTAACTAACTCAAAACATCAAATTTGACTGTGCGATTTCAGACACTGCTAGAATATTGAATTGCAATGTACCAGGGACTGACAGAACTGAATTCTGACGGGCAGAATCAAAGTTATGACTGACCCTAGTCTATCATAGCTTTGGCTATGTCAGCGCAGAATTCAATTTTGCATTATCACTGACAATTGAGCCCTGAAACCATCAATTCACTGCACAGTGTAAATCGCAATACTGTAAAGCAGTCCCAGATGAAATTTGAGCCAGAGGGGAGGTCAAACAGGGTTAGTAGAGGTCAAAGAAGACAGGTAGGAGAGGTTGGATATGGCTGTCCCACAGTCTGAATTTCGATTTTCAACTGTCACATGACGGACAGACCCAATTTCACTATTCTAAAAATAGCCCCTGAATCGCCACACAGGATAGAGTAAGAAACACACTCACTTCAGGATCAGCTCTGAAGAAGATGCATGGAATCTTGGCTATGGCTGAATAGTCAAGCCTGTCTCGCCAGTTTCACCTCCTGACAGTATACTGTGCTCCCACGTACAGAATCCTTCCAAACTTGGTGATCCAGTAGAGTTCCCTGAGGCGCTTCACCCCCAACTGACAGATTCAACGAATTTGGACTCCCAGGTGCTGATAACTGCTCCAGACAGTACAGCGCCACATCACCCTTTACAACGCTGATTGGAAATTGGGGATTCTGACCCAATTCCAAAATCGCAACCTCCTGGGATCACTTCCCTGACAATCGCCAACCTCCAGGTGAATCGCGAGGCTATAATTAGCCTCCCAGAGCCTTCTGGGCCTCTGGATTATCAAACGCCACTCACTCCTGCATAACCCTAGCCACGAGTGTATCACCCTTTGTCTGTTGCTTCTCGCCACACACTCACAACGACCACCCTACTGACAACAACCCTGAAGATGATGAATCGCCATGAAGCTCAACTCCAGTATCTCGCCAGATGATGATGGGTGCTCCAACTCATTGATCGCTCCAGAGTCTGGATCCAATTGCTCCGATACCAACTGTTATGATTCTGGTTGTTCGTTGCCTGAAAGCCAACACTCACTCACATAAACTTCTGCACATGCCCATACACACACAGAAGGAAGGGGAGAGGATAGGAGTATCACACCACACAGGGAGAGAGAAACATAGCGGAAGACTTGACCATGCGGTATGACAGGGTACACTGAAAGTGCAATACACTCCAGTCAATCCTCACAACCAGTCATAGAGAAAAGCCGAGCAGATCACATCCAGGAACCAATGAAACGATGATAGTCCAAACACAGTTATACACTGTTTATTAAACTCAGAGTCTCAAAATGTCAGGATCACTTCAGAACTACAGTGCGCTGCTCAGAATTGAGCAGCGCTTCACTCTCCAACCCTGATAGACACCCG